AATATTACACTATGGAATGTAGCGCGAGCAATAACCCAGATAGTGTCTAAAGCAATATTCAGGTGAACATTTTACAACCCTTTAGGGGCTAGACAATGGTTAATAAAGTCGGTTATATTGAGTTTGAGTCTGCATATATCTAAAACCGATTTTTGAGGCCAGTCATCTATTTACTCCTCATAGTTGCAAGCAAATACAACAGCGCTTAAAACTTATACGCAGTGTAACCTGTTCTTGAAATGGTATAACGGCTTGTGTACATTAGTATCCAACCTATTACATCCTTAAGGCTGTTCACATGCCGCCGCAGGCAAACATTTCAGACCGACCGTTGGATATATGCCAGGGAAACAAAAGTACAAGTTCATTTCAAGGATGTTTACTACGTTAGGCACAGTTGTCACACAAAGCAATGGGTTGGGCAGTATTTAACCATTGTTAGGCGTGGTTGACATGCAATATCCCAGTAAAACGCAGTTTATATCAGACTCGTTTGTTAAATACGCTAATTGTCAATCATAGATGTGTTTGACGATGGGCTACCACGTATCGCTTGATAACCAGATCTTTGGTTTGTCATTAATAAAATTCAAACGAACGGATTTACTGGTCCGAAACACCAAACCGTGGCAGAAACGCAGTGTAACATCTTTGATAGCATTTCCTTGACTTTCTAATCAAAACATCAAGTCGAACGCAATTTTATTATCAACAGGCTTGAAGAATCTCAAGTAATATATAAACATTTTAAAACTATAACCGGGGTTAAAATGTATCTGACTGCGTCCAATTAATGTGACTCCGAGCATATATTGATTGGCGCCCCCGTAAAATTGTCCACCGAGCCACTAAGCTGCACGACACTTAGTTACCTGTCAGTAACATGACTTCGGAATACATAAGCTAGCGTTAACAAATTAACCTTAAGTGCATCGGACCTGATTTTGCGTGCTCCTGAATGTAATAACTCATTAAGAGAGTAGCAAAGTGGTGAGAATAAATCTTTACTTGTCTGTATGACGAGCGGTTTGCTGAGGTATATTTGCATAATATTAAAAGGAAATATTCGTTCAATTCATTATTTTAGTGTCCGATTAACTAACTGCTTCTGTGACGAAACAGCTTTGGAAGTGCCAATCCTATCTCACAGTCCAAGACTCACTGAAAATCATCCTGTTGCCTAGGCTTGAAGGAGTATTTAAAAATCCCTATTTAATATGAGTGCGGTTTGCAAATCGGATCTTCCAACAGTTGCTACATTACGCAAACGTAGTTAACTAGGAGCATTATGGGTGCATTTGGTACGTAACTCTTTTGGTCAGATCTTAACACGCAGAAAAACTCAGCACTGTGAATCAGTTCCACGTAAAACTTTGTTTTGTTGCACATATCTACAAAACTCGTTGAGTGAGACAGAATTTTACTGTAGCGATGCAAGCGCATTTCTGGCAACAATCCACTCCATGGAATGTATGCACAGATGTTTCTTGCTTTTCCAACCAAACGTTATGTCGCGTCAGATATAACTAGTTTCGACCATAGTAGGAACAATTGACAACAACAACATGACTAAATATTATTCTTATTAATTTCGTACTTTTCGAAAGATTCTATTATTTTACTCAATTAATGGACCTAAAATACAACTGACTTTGTTCATGCTTCACCATATAAGGGTGTGGTCATATTTTAAACGTTAAACATTCAACTCTTTTAATTTAGTTCATTTCTTAGTGCTTAACATGCGCGTGAATCGTGTATCTAGGTATAACTTTGTGTCTAGCGTTGAATCATAAAGATTGCTAATAAATAAGAAACCTCTTTTCCAGCATTAGTTACTCGTGCACTCGTACAACAATTAATTTGCATTCACAGTGACAAAATTGGGTGTCATACTCTTCGTTGCATGACATAAAAGACTGATGGCAGTAACTGCAATTATCGATGTTCTGGTAGCCTAAACTAAAGGACTAAATAATCTCCAATATCTATGCGTAGGCGTCAGATCTGCTGTCGAAATTTAATACCACCTACAGCCAGGTGGCTGAAAGGGGATGAGAATTATTGACGGAACCATAATACCGAGCTTTTAGATAAACCAAGTACTAGTGAACTAAACTGATCTGTTGAACGTCATGTGTTTTAACAAGGAAAAGGCAACGGTTTTGGCGACAGTAATTTCATTACGCCCTTTCTTACAACAGCTACCTAGCATAGTTCTCTCCATATGTATACCTTTGCCTGCGTATAGAGTGACCCTGAGGAATATGATTCGACAGTGGCCAACTAACGCTGTTTCAACCTGTGCAGTCGAAATTACCGCATAAACAATCTATAACATTAGTTGGCTTTTGATACTCACCTGATGTTAGGATACTTGAGAAACAGGGGTTTGGTTATATATAAGTATTGTATCATGTTATTATACATCACTACGAATGAGATTGCTTGTTAAACTGGACTATCATGGTTGCATATCCTTCAGACTTGGTACTTGTGGGATCTGCTCATCTGTATTGTTGCACGACGATATTGGAAACAGAATTGTAACAGCGACATAATTGGGTTTTAATGAATATTTCCAGCGTAGCCATGGATCGAATATACATGATGAGTGGCAAGTGTTGTTTTACGCATTACGATTTAATCTGACGATATCTAATAAATGGTTTTTGGAGATACACGTGACTATTGTACTTTGATTTTATACATGCCATAGATATTACTTATTAATAATAATTGAACATGTCAATATAATAATAGTTTGGGCTATATTGCTACAAGTAACTTACAGTTGAAGTATGGAAATATATGTGGATATACCTGCAGATCTTTGCTGATGGATCCCATGGTTTGTTAAATTTCGTATTGACCAAAACGAGCTACATAAAGCAAGTTATGCTGAAGTTCTTAGTGTTCATAAGATATGACACTCAATGGATCATACATGGAAAGAGAAAGCTAATTCTGTGTCATTGGTACATTTCGCGTTGGGTTAGAGTGACGAGTAATATACTATGAATAGACGTACTGATTAAGTTAATAAATGTTTTGATGTATTTAAACATACTTACCTTCTAATTGATGTAGGAAACCGTTTTGTCTTCTTTGCTTAATGTCCCAAGGATACACTGAGCAATTTTGCTCCATCTCGCTACATGCATTGTTTGGTTGGACATAATTAGTCGGTGTGAAATTCTACAGATTTGAAGTAAAACAGCTTATGGTTGAAGATTACTTGGCCTTGCTCATCCAATTAAAAAACGGTCCACAACTGAATGCCTGGTTTCTTGAAGTTTACCTGTGGAGTAACAGCCCAGCCATTGGTTGATGATATAAAAATATTGGGCGAATTTCATAGTAGAACAAGTGGTAAATTCCCAGTCTGTCTAAATATAGCCAACGAATGAATAATTCTCTATAAGTTGCAGGTGAGGTTGAATTTTACTCAGGGTAGTAGTTTCGTTATGGTAACAAATATGGTGAGGGAAGATACGTCCATTTCATGCTATCCATAGAAATTGAAAGCTTCATACTTGCAGCTGCGATCTTGGCAATGTATACCCATCTCACCAGCTTAAATAGCTCCAGGCATCAGTTACCATGTTGGTTTGATTCGTTGTAACTACAACTTTAAGGTAATTCTCTGATGCTGTGGTAAAAAATATGACTTTTTTCCTTTTCCCAGAATTAGGTGAATAGGTCATGAGTAAGCAATCAAGGGCGCCGCATGGATGTTTCATAATAGGTTGATGCATAATTACATTTTCCATCCCTAAAGCTATGAAATGGTCCGGAAAGATAATAGCTAAACTTTAAGTGTTGTTGTTTGATATAATAGATAATCGAAACGAAATATTAAGTATGTGCACACTAGAAGATGACAAGTTCAAAAAATAACGGAGACCTCGGCTTACTCGTCGTTATATTTAAAGCAAATGATTATCTGTCTGTTTGTTTGACAGAGGACAACCTATTACTCTAACCCGGTCCTCTACGCTGTGACTATTGCAAATGAGTTTCCTTCAAGTAACCTTTAATACTATTGAATAATGCAGACTATAATTATTAAAAGAAAGTTTGTCTTATGGTTTGGAACAAACGCTTAATAATTTTGGATTTTTCCGAAACAATATACGACAATGCAATGCTAATGCTTTTGGACGGTAATGCACATTTAACAACGAAGGCCATCTTGAGCTTTGTGAAGGCGCCTTAAAAATCACAGGGCCTGAAAGCAGATGTAAGTAACCAAATTGTGTAGCAGTCAAGACCAGGTGACAAAGAAACCAGCTCTGATGCCTGTTACACCCAAATATTCAACAAAACTAACTCAAGTAGTTCGAGATGGACACTAGTTGGCTTGAGGTATACGCTCTTCCTATCAAACGGAAACCAACTACCACATATTCTTTATGTGACATAGAGCCTCACTCTTTTAAAACAGTTGTTGCATAAATGTTTGCCGCTTTAGAACCAAACTTGTTATCTTTCTTTTCATAACAACATATACTAGGTCTAACTGCAACAGGAACATATGATGACCAGCAATCGTACGATGATTTTGCGTTCTAAACGGATAATGTAGTGGCCAGATTTTTCGCGATCTAGGTCTTCTAAATGCATGCTTGAGATTGAAGGTTCAGAAATTACACTAATAAGATCTAGGATAGAAGACGAATATCCTTCGTATTTGATCAGTGTCATAAGTGATAACCGTTTTGCAGATACATACCTAACTGAGCTTGTCAGATAACTGACATGGCAGACAGTTATTCGCCGCAGAAAAATATATTTAGTAATGAGTACACTAAAGGTGTTATTAAATTGTCAACTGCTTCAGTATTCCTTTGTCACGAAATAACTATATTAAAATAGCATTTGGTGAAAAATGAAATTAAGCATTGCTCTTCTTGACAAGAAGTGATATTTGTAATATTGTTGTACGTTAACTTTGTCACACCTGTTTCATCTTCTTTTCACTAAACCAATTTTCGCAGCTCATTCGGAAACCGTAGAATATCAAGCAGACGAACTTCCATTTGACAAAAGAAGGCAAATATTCCGCTATGGCAAAAGATTTGTCCCGAAAGCAATGTATCCAAGCCGAATGCACGACACGTTTACTTACGGTGACTGGCCGCTTCGCGATTGGTGAATATATGGACAATGGCTTTTGAACTTGCTCAGCCAATTGATGCAATACATTTAGTGTTGTGTTGACGTCTTTTCAAATATGTTAGCTGATTCTGTGAAGGCATATGTAGTTCTAAACTAATGGTTTTCGAAAGTATACAACCTCAGATGTGCTCTGTTGGAAAGCACTTAGCTCGTCTATGTACTAGTTATCTGGGAGATGTAATTAGTATCATATTACTAGTTCGTAGTTTGGAAATTCGATTAAAAGATTTCAGTAGAATATGTGGGAACAAGGTAAGCAAGTGAGCTCACGGTTGGCAGGTCCATTTGATCACATTATAAGTCAGCTTCATTTTCAAGACACTATCCCAACGTAGCAACTAAACTAAACCGGTTTAAACTTGGGTTGAGCATCTCTTGTATGATGCGAAATTTTAAAAACAACAGCCGTCATTTTGGTTCGCCAAGCGAAAGCCCAGCGATGTTCCATAATGGTTTCCCAAGGAAGACAAAAGAATAATATATCAATCCGATTACAGAAAATCTACCATCGGGACCATGCCGAAATAAAGCGGAAACGAAATACAATGTGTGGCAAACGATTTTTTCGTTTTACATGCCGCTTTGGGATTTTTTGTGTTTTGGAGTTTTATATTCTATCAGACGTTAACTAATAGATAACACGGTTGAACAGCACGGTCTCCACTGATGCCGTTCGTGTAACATCGGCTCCAACAATTATAATCACTGACAGTCCGAATGGCATTGTGCCGCATCCTAGAAGACGGACTTGTCCGACGGATGCTACGCTTGAGGTTGCATTTATCATGCGCCTTCTCCACGCCATTGGTTGTCCGCCGCGGCACTTATTCCAGTCACTTCCGGGGAGAGCAAATAACTCACGACGGGGAAGGCGATAGGCCGGCATGCGTGCACGAGCCAACGCGTGCGTTGTTGGATAATACCGTACTGGGGATTGGTACTGCTCGCTTCAAGCGCTTTGTCTCTCAGCTTTGCGTTGCTTAGGTGGTGTCGCCACTATACCAGGGCAATGCTTCGTAGACAGCGTTTGTCGAAGAGTGGCAATCGTTTCATGTCTTGCGAGCGAATGGGCCAAGTCTCACAGCTGTACAAGTGTACTGCACGGACCGAAGCATTGTACATCCTGCCCTTGAGCTTGAGACTGCTATCAAGACGACTCCATAATGTCTCAGTTTGATGGGTGCAAAGCAGGCCTTTGCAATCCGTTGTGTGACTACATCCCCAACACGGCCACTAGCTGTGATGCAAATTCCTAGATAAGTAAAGCAAGGTACTTGCTACAGAACATGTCCAGCAATGGTGAGCGCTGGTTCAGGCACTTGCCAATCCTGGAGAAATGTCTACGTTTTCCCAGAGTAAAGCATCAGTCGTACATAGACGCCAGTATTGCTAAGCGGTCCAAAGTGCACTGGACGGTATTTGGGTCGTCCCCCAGCAAAGAAATATCATTGACGTAGTTCAAGTCCTTGAATCTTTCTTCAGAGAGGAGCTCAACACCCTTGTTCTGGACACCTTACAGTGTTCCTTAGACGACAGCTTCGATGGTAAAATTAAGAAGAAAGTGAAACAGGGCAACCTTGGAGAACACCGCGGACCACAGCAAATGAAGAAGAAAGCATGCCGTAAGCCCTGAATTTGCCCGACGTATGATTGTAAAGCTTTTTCTGGAAGGTTACAAACATGTCGGGCACACCTTTGTTCCGCAAACAGTTCCACAATGCAGACCTATCCACTTAATTAAAAGCCGCTCGATGTATAAAAACACTACGATTATTGCCTCCCTAATGGATGTGACGGAGTTCGAAAAGTTAAAAGAGTGAGAAGATTTGGTCAGTACAGCTGCGGACTGGACGAAATCCGGCTTGTTGTTCTCGGGAAAACTTCTCTCTAGTCGTTGAAAGCCTGCGAAATCGGACAGACATGAAGATTTTGGATGTAGCAGAGATCAAAGAGATTCTGCGGTAGTTATAGCGATCGTCGCGGAAGCGCTCCTTGTGAATCAGAACAAGGAGATATTCTCTCCATGAGTTCGGAAGCTTCTGCTCAGTCCAAAATTTTGCGAACAGCGATAGGATTTCGCTGACAAGTAAACTGTCGTTATCTTTGAATATAGCCAGTGGTACGCTCTCGGGACCAGTAGGTTTGTAGCGTTTCAAAGATTGGATTGCATCACGGATCTCTGCTTCAGTTAAGGGGCCTGTGGAAGCAGGACAAGCATCATCCGTTGGGGCTGGAGTTGCCACAGTGGGCTGTATTGGGCGGATGAATTGAAAAGCGAAATGCTCTGCCCAGCGGCCCAACCACCTGTGAAGTTTGCAAGGCTGTTTGAGCTAAGAAATTCAGCTATACTCTGAATCCTGCGAAAAACTTTTACCACCAATAAATGGCAAACAGCATAGTAGCGTCAGTTAAAATGCTAGCATAAGGATTGACATATTCTGACACGCCAATTTTGATGACTGTGCTCCTCTAAACAAAACCTCTTGGTGTTTGTTTACAGTCGTTTAAACACGACTTAATGAAATCATCAGCGTTTGTTGAGGATATCAACGTCAAAACGCATACAGTTTCAAGAAAACTAAGAAAGAGCAATTCGGTCAATTCGGTAACATAGTTCAAAGGTGTAGAATTAATTTGAGGTATCCATGATTTATGTTCTCTAACGTTAGCTCTTCGTATTTTACTGTGATCTCTAGGCATGCTAAAAGTATGGCATTGCATGCCAGCTTACAGTATTGTTCCCAAGAGAATATGTGATATAGTCTAATAGACATGCCGATAGCAAAATATTAGCTATTACCGCGCGTTCTGGATACAGTAACGTTATCATGAACGTCTAGTTTTCGGCGATTGCCATAAAATGAGCTGTCACACTTCATACTATGACTTTATTAATCATCGCTGATCACGAATATTGAAGATTTGCTGTTGTATTGTTCCAGAGAGCTGCAATAGCGTCGCTGACAAATTATTACAACTGACTTTGATTACCTTCGTGCATACAAATGGAGACAATTCTGTTTTCAAGTTCTCTAGCCTTTTGGCACCATTTTATGCACCACCCTACTAGACATTTTGCTGTATACTTGATGTAGACCATTTACTTGAGTCTAGTGAATTAGCGACCTTACGTACAGCGTAGCCGCAAGACACCGTTTGCCAGAGCGGATATTATGTTAACCTCACAATCAGCATTTAACCTTGACTGAGATTAAAAATCATTTGCCGGTACGAAAGTCATATTTGTCTTAAATTATCATGACTCAGATCAATAATCATGAATTTAACTCCCGATCACCCGTGTTGGAATTAAATTCCCGGATTGATTTATGTTACAAATAGTGGATTTTATTTTTCAAGTAACCTTAGTAAAGGTTTTAAGTTCGGAAGCGGAGAAAAGTTGATGAATTTCGTAAGAATGGCAACAATTCAGGAATAGTCCGTGTTTCAGTCGCCGATGTGCTGCTTTAAAAATCAAAATTTTTTAATAAAAGAACACCATTTTGGTTTTGTAGTCCTCACACTAGGGTTATAGAAATTTGTCGCATTGCGTTATAACTTGTATGTTCACCTGATTGACAAAAATAACATTTGGCAACAGCATCACCTCTGTGCTAGTTCATGCTTAAATTTTACGCATGCCAGTACCTTTTAAAGCGGGATCATACATCTAGGTCCCTTATGTAAATACATACATTATATCGTATTAAGTAAATAAAGAAATACAAGTAAGGTACTTGAAACCGGTAATCTTTGGCATTATCATTATAATTGCTTATGCCATAGCTGTATAAGCACCAGTGCATCGGATTTGCAGTTGGCCAGTAGACATGGGTAACTGCTGGTTTCCGTGGAAACATATTGTGTTGTGGAAAGTGGTGAAAGTTTAACCTCCTGTATGTCAATCCGCTTAGACAAACCAAACAAATACGTAGCACAAATATATTATTAATTGCTGCTGTAACCAAAATTATGCTTATTGTTGAAAATTAACAGCTTTGTTACAACAAGCACAGGTTGTAATAGAAATCGCGGCAGATACACCGGATGGGTAACACGCGTGTTACACAAATTGCTCAATTTCATATAATAGAAATAACCCGACAAGTGTGATAATGGGCCGCCCATGTATGTCACACACGTGTGGAATTTGTTATACGCTATTACGTTTTGCAAAGCTAATCCGCTAGTGTCTGACAACGTTGCCCTGCTTAGTGTTATTTGGTTGATTTGACTGAAGTATTCATGGCAAACTTCCATAAGTACTTGATAAATAACATTAGAGGGTAAATCGAAGAATCGAATCTCGATTGCAGAAAAATAGCATAGAGGCTGTAATAAAGTTCTTCCAAAATTTTTCAGGATGTGCATAAAGTTAGCAAAATGAGCAATATCAGCATGCAGCGCAAAAATAAAAATTTTGGATATGTCCCGCCAGTTCCTCCTGAAGGTTATTTACGTCTGCTTGTTTCCATATTATGCGCTAAATATGGTTTGAAGGAAAGCACCCAATTCCTTGTCAACTCGGGTTTTAATACCGCGGTGTAACAGAGACACCAAAGCTGAGTTATATAAACAATCCTCCCTTGATAAGTGTGGAGAATTTCGGTATACCGCCAGTTTTATTTTCTGATATTTTGCTTGTTGGACCTAATTTACAATTCTTTGCATAGTAGAGAAGATTTATCAGGATTTACCAGACCATTGCAAAAGTTTTCGCTGAGCAAGATTACCAACTAAGATATATCGTTATGTTTCCATTTTAAAGTGAAATGGTGATTAAAAATAATCCCTTTGCATCAGCTGTACATTTTCGATTAAGAAATTGCCGATTTTTGTCCACGATGCCAAGATTTTGTCAGCGTGTTTGACTAAAAGTACATCTGGCAAACAACCAAGATGCCTGTCGGAAGAGCATGACATTTGCACTCGGTCCAACTACCTTAGGTCATGTCCAAAGCGGACAAAATGGGAGATGTCATCTTCAACT